GTTTAAGGAAGGATTTTTAAAATCATTTTCAATAATTTAGCATTGCCTGTAAACCTAACTAGGTCATTGCTTACCTATAAAGTCAAATTTTTGTATGAGCAAGGAAGACCATAAGCAATTGTCTCATTTTACTCAGCCTTGATCAAACCCCACTTGGAATACTGTGTTCATCTCTGGACATTGCAGTATAAGGTAGACATTGATACACTGGGGCAAGTTCATAGGATAACTATAAGGTGGTAAGGGGATTGACAAACACAGCCTCATGAGAAATCTGAGGAGAGAAATGGTAGCAGTTTTTAGATATACACTGGAGGAAATAGACTTGTTCTCTTTCAGCCCAGAAGCAGAAGGCAGTGCAAGAATCAGAGGGACATAGATTCAGGTGATTAAATATTAGGAATTTCCTGATAATGCTCATGATGTGACATATCATTCTTTACTGGAGGGTTTCAAACAGAAGATACATAGTCACATGTCCAAAATGTTTTAGCAGTTCCTCCATTGAAGAAGCACTAAAGTTTTAAGGGCTCTTCCAACATTGATTAAGTGCATTTTAAGTTAAAAAGCACTGGTTCTGAAAAAGCTTTTGGAGGAACTCTACTTGTTTCTCTCCATTCAGTGCCTTACTAATTTGTTTTTTTGTTTTGTTTGCCTGTTAACAATATGTAAAAGAACAAAGCTTTTGATCTCATTGCCACTAAATTGTATTTTCATTACCAGTTTTGCCAAAGGCTTTTAGAAAATCCAAATATTGAACATGAGCAAGGTTATTTTCATTCACTTGGAGGTTATTCTAAAAAAGAATGAAGTATTGGCAAATCAACATTTGGCATTGTAAAATCTGCAGATTTTTCCCTTGGTAGAGCCTTATGCCTCTGTGTGCTTCAATTCCTTTTCATTGAATATTGTTGTCACCAGTTAGCCTGATGTTAAGCTTACTTATTTATAATTCCCTGATTCTCCCATTGATTCATTTAAAAAAAAATTTGTATATGTTTAATTTAAACATTCCACCTTTGTTATTTTTTATTATTAACTCAAGGCAGCAAACATACCTAATGCCCATTCCTCTTCTTTTCTCCATAACAACTGTGTGAGGTGGATTGAGCTGAGGTAGTGGTCTTTTGAACTTTTCTATTTTTTTCTTTTAGAACTTTCCCCTTTTGTAGTTAAATGGAAATATATTGCAACCTGCTGGGAATTTATCATTTCTATGTATCTTATTGGAGATCTTGTCCTCTATATCTTAGGAGGCCGTCGGTTTTTGAAGGAGGAAAATGAGACAGAATCCTTGGACTTAGTAAGCACTTATGGAGCTGTAATTTTTCAAGAGAGTATTCATGAGAAACAAGTCGAGTGGAAGAATGGTAAGTAATTACAATAATGAAGAGCCAGGAATTAAAATATATTTAACATACTTCATATTTTCCTCAAAACACTAACTTGGGGTTACTACATTCCTGTATAAAGTGAATGCTTGAAATGCATAGTCATTTAAATAGGAATATTTATAAGTGGATTGGTAAATGGGCACCAGCTGACAATTACTGCTTTTGATATTCCAGAATGTACTGACAACCCTGAAGCTTTTACATTAGTATTACAGAAAAATCCAAGCTGTAAGCATCCCCTTCCCCTCATTCTTTTTACCCCAGGCTGGGGTAATGCTGATAGAATTTGCTATTAATTTAGATCTCAAGCCACTGTATATTCTACAATAGAATATTTTATTTATTTATTTATTTATTTATTTGATTTATATTGCCACCTATTTGCCCATGGTGACTTTATATATGTTATGGAAAGATTAAGGGAGCTTTCATAAGAAATATGGACATTATATTTTATTCAGTGCTATTTCTGTAGCCCCTACAGAATAACCATAATATAGCAAGAAAAATGTTTTTCAATAGCCTTGGTCAAGTGGCAAGCACTTTGTGAGATGACAATAAGTGAGTTACAAACACTTTTCTCTTATCCATAGATGTGATCTCCAGTGAAGACCTGACACTGGTACTTTTGGTGGTACTACCTATCATTGGGATTATCCTATTTATTGCTGTGCTAGTGCTCTGGAAGAAAAGAAGCAGGATGACAAAGCTCTAAATTTGTTATACAGAAAATATATAAATAAAGCTATACCCCAATGGCTTATAAAGAGTCTCTTGATATTTCAGTTCTTCGTTGATTAGATAGAAAATCTGCCATTAAGTGATTACTTCCAGTAATAATTCAATTCTTATGTAGATGTCGATACGGTATCTTCACATTGCTACAATTATGAATACAAGAAATCCATTCATATCAAAATTCATGCTTTGTTCTCTTTTTTATCATATGGATCCTCTTTTGCCCTTACACAAATACTGCATGTTCAAGGAGACAAGCTCTTATTTTAAATAGAGTCCTGTGTTCCTCCTCTAAGCTTATTGCCAGTCCCTCAATATTGCTTCAAAAGGAGGGATGAAATTAAAAGCACCAGCTATGTTAAATGAAGCACAAGAGAGAGTCAAGAAAACATTTCTAGGAATTATTAAGGAGTTTCTGAGAAAGACAATGAGTTATTGCTTGTAATAACTCATGTTATATAAGTTGTAGATTTGTAAACATGCCCTGCGACTATCTGCATAAATGCAACAACGGGAGGAGGGGAGCAGCATCTATTTAGGGGGGAAATTTTCCGGTAGTAAAGCAACACTTGCTTTTCCACATTTTCCAACTTGCCTATGAACTACATCACCAGAAGTGGGTGGAAAAACCACAGTTTGCCATATCTTTGCTGCTATTGATGTTACATGGGGAAACTTAACATTTGGAAGTTGCTTCAGCTCCAATTACTGCTTTCATAACCTACAGCAGAGATGGGCTTTTATTCTTGGAAACCTCCTTTGTCTCTACACCATTACATTTTTGTTTTCTGATACAGAAGCAAGAAGTATTAATGCAAAGATATAAGGTAGTGTAATATTGGGTTTTTACCTAGAGAATTAACTTGTGTGGACACCCTACCTGCACGAATAAAACTAGGTTTTCATTGGGGTTCAAGTTGATAAGAAATAGATACTGTAGGCCATTTTTAATCTACCTCAAAATAACACACCACCTTATGAAGTCTTTTTTCCCCCCTTTCTTTGCCTTTGACACAATTTTTTGATTCATGGTGTCTGCCTGGACTAATCCCAGCAGTTTTCTTGGCAAGATTTTTCCAAAATGGTTTTCCCTTGCCTGCTACTTAGGGTTGAGAGAGAAAGGAACTGGGCCAAGGTCACCCAGCTGGCTTTGTACCAAATAAGCAGTGAAAGGGGGGAATTGTAGTGGGGGGTAATAATCTAACAAAATTGAGACTGCCATTGTCCCCTCCCCAGTCTTTTGGATATGACCAAGATCAAATCCAATTCCTCCTCTTTGCCTAATCTCACATTTTAATTCACTGAATTGTTGCCTAGTTGCTGAAATCTGGATTTCCTTTAAAGACACCCATTCTCATTTTCCAAAGTCAGGAGAAGAAGAAAAACCCTAACCCATCTTGCCTACCTTCCTGAAGGGAGAAGTTAAGTCTTCCTGCCTCAGTGCGAAAGTGCTTGGCAGGAGTCACTCGAATGGTTGCCCTGGAAAAGGCTTCATGGCTCAGACAGGCCTGGGGCTGCCTCAGTGAACCGAGGCAGCTTTTTAATGCCTTTGCTAAAGCAGTAATAGTCACCTTAGGGTTCCCAAGGATGCTAAACTTCACTATATCCCCTAAATGAGATTTACCCCTCCTTGGGTTAGTTTCCTCTGGTGGAGCAGCCAGCTAACCAAGAGAGAGGTGACTGAAGTTGATAATCCCTTTCTCTATATTGAATTTCATTTTATGAGATACGGCCCAGTGTTCTAGTCTGTCAAGATTTATCTGGACCTTGAGCCTATCTTCTTGGGTGTTAGCTATTTCTGCCAGCTTAGTATCATCTGCAAATTTGGTAAGTTCCTCTTCTATTCCCTCATCTAAGTCGTTAATGAAGATATTGAAGAGGACTGGGCCTAAGACGGAACCTTGTGGCACCCCACTGCTTACTTCCCTCCATGTAGATTTAGACCCATTAAGGACTACTCATTGAGTACGGTTTGCCAACCAGTTGCGAATCCATCTAGTGGTGGTGCTATCTATTCCACTTTTTTCTATCTTACTAAGAAGTAGGTTGTGGTCTACTTTATCGAATGCCTTGCTGAAATCTAAATATATTATGTCCACAGTATTTTGCTGGTCTACTAATTTAGTCACTGTGTTGAAGAATGAAATAAGATTGGTTTGGCATGATCTGCTTTTAACAAACCCATGCTGACTGCTAGCTATTACTTTACTTGTTTCTAGATGTTGGCAGATCTGTTTTTTTATTATCTTTTCCAGTATCTTTCCGGATATTGATGTTAGGCTGATTGGTCCATAGTTTCCTGGGTCTGTTTTTGTTCCTTTTTTAAAGATGGGAACCACATCAGCTCTTTTCCAGTCCTCTGGTAGTTCCCCGGTGCTCCAGGATTTTTGAAAGATATGCAGTGGTTCTGAGATGACCAGGTGGTATCATGCCCCGTGGTACGAAACAAGGAACAGTTACATCTGAAAGATCTCAAGGGGTGTCACAAAAAACGAACACAGAAGTAATGACAAATAGACATGAGAGGAAAACACCTGATGGCAAACAACTACCCAAGGTAGTCTCAGGGTTATACGATAGTGTAGTCTGGATGAAGATGATTTGGTGAGTAATCCTATGCGTCCATTTGTTATACCAGTAGTATTGGAAAATCTAACAAGCAAATTGAGGGGTCAGTATGGAGCATTAATCGACACTGGATGTACTAGATGTTTAATTAGTAAAAAAGTGGTTGGTGAATTACAGTTAGCAGTGGAAGAACTGCCCAAACCAGGCATGATATTCCCCTCTGAAAAAAAAATCAGGGCCGGCCAAGAGACCCCATGCCGCGCGCCAAGAAATCGCACACACAACACCAACGCTACACACCCTTTCCAGCCAGTCGGGTGTGGATCAGCTCCAGAGCTGGGCAGCCGCTTCCCTGCTGGCGGGGCTGAGGCCGCCGGCCAGGGAGCGCCCACTGCTTTCCCTTGCCAGGGCTGGGTGGTGGCGTGTTGCCCTACGCTATGTGGCCCCTGCCTGGCAACGCGCTTCTTGGCATGAGGCAGCCTTCCTGAGGCAACGCGGGACTGGAGCCGCACAGAGCCACGCCGGTGGTAGCAACTCCTGACTCAGGAGGCCTCCAAGGGGAGGGGAAGGAGGAGAAGAAGGGGGGGAGGGGGGGCGATTTCCCCAAAAATAGGAATTCCGATTTTAATTGGAAGAATATCATGTCTGGTATGGTTAGACAAATGATGGGAAGACGGTTTTAGGAAGTTACGAATTGCAGTTGGGCCTAAGTTCCCAAGTTGTAACAACTATAGATGATTCTGAAGAACTACGTTATCCAGAGGAATATAAAGACCTAGCAGATGTGTTTAACGAAAAGTTGGCACATGGATTTATTCAACCCGGGAAATCACATATAGCTGCCCGTTTTGTTTTGTGAGAAAAAAGATGGTAGATTACGTCTTTGTGTTGATTTCCACGGGCTCAACACTATTTGTATAGACAATGTATATCCTTTACCACTGATCAATGATTTGTTAGCAATGTTAGCGACTGGCAGGTATTTTAAAAAATTGGACTTACGAGAAGCCTACTATAGAGTTCGAATACGAGAGGGGGATCAATGGAAAACTACTTTTAATTGCCCCCTTGGAAGTTTTCAGTTTAACGTTATGCCATTTGGGTTGCAAGGGGCACCTGCTGTCTTCATGCAACTTATAAATGAAGTATTACAAGAACATTTATATCGTGGCATTCTAGTATATTTAGATGATATTTTAATTTATGCCAAAACGATGGAGGAACATGTGGCCTTAGTAAAGAAAGTTCTGAAAAAATTACTTGACGCCAAATTATATGTGAAACTTTCGAAGTGCGAGTTTCACTGTACGTCATTGGATTATTTGGAGTACAGAATATCCAATAAAAGAATAGAAATGGATCCCAATAAAGTCAGAGCTGTAGTTGATTGGAAAGAGCCAAAAACACGAAAGCAATTACAGAGTTTTTTAGGATTTGCGAACTTTTACCGGCAGTTTATTCCTAAATTCGCACAAATTGCTTTACTACTAACAGAATTGTTAAAAACTAAACATCAAGTGCCAAAACCCAGACCTAGTCAACCCATTGTATGGTCACAGGAGTGTCAGCGAGCGTTTGATGACCTGAAAGTTTTATTTGCTCAAGAGCCCATTTTAAAACATCCTGATACAACTAAAAGTTTTGTAGTACAAGCTGATGCAAGTGATGTGGCTGTGGGGGCTGTCCTCTTACAGTATAACATTGATGGACAATTACAGCCATGTGCATATACATCACAGAAATTTACAATCACAGAACACAGGTGGGCTATTTGGGAAAAGGAGGCTTTCGCCATAAAATGGGCACTTAGTACATGGAGACACCTATTAGAAGGGTTGAAAGAAAAATTTGAAGTTTGGACGGATCATAAAAATTTACAATCATGACAGAAACCAAGAAAACTATCCCCTAAACAAGTAAGGTGGGCTTTGTATTTTAAATGTTTTGATTTCCAGTTGCGATATTTTCCGGGAGGTAAAAACTTCATGGCAGATGCACTATCTAGACTACCTCAATACAATGTGTCTAGAGACAAAGTTATTCAGCCCATGATCTCTGTAGGACTGTCAACTGAACAAATTCAGATATTCAGAAAAGAGATAACCAGAAAGGAATTACAAGAGGTTACAAAAATGGATGTATGGATAAAAACAAATAATAGTGCCTGTTTACATAAAGATGGATTGTATTGGAGAGGGGATAAAATATGTTCCATCAAATTGTAGGAAAAAGATATTATCCCAATGTCATGATGTAAGGCAGGCTGGACACTTTGGATTTTAAGAAACACTTGGTGGCCACATATGAGATCAGACATTGAACAGTACCTTAAAGAATGCCACATTTGTGCTACTACGAAACCTCAAGTAGGAAAACCTTTAGGACTATTACAAACTGTATTGGATCCAA